TTTCAGCATCGTTTTGAAGCTGGAAAGATAGCTGGGCATTTCCGGGTGGGGGTCATTTTCAGTATTTCTGTGGAGTGGCGAAAACCTCCAGAGAAACAACTAGCTTTGCTTATTTTATTTCTTTTAATTTTTTTATTCCCTTAATAAATATTAATTGCCATGGGGGCAGTTTGGTATAGAGCAGGCCTGTCAGATGCTCAGCCGAGTTAAACGAGGCGTGCAGCCCGCTGGCTGGGAGTCTGACACGCTTGGTATAGAGTTTCAAGGTTGAGCATATTTTGGACTTGGAGTAGGGAGACGTGGTTTAATTCCCTGCTGTGTCATTGCAGGGTCCCCGCATCTCGGTTTCCCTCCATAAATAGTGATGGAGGCTAAGCTCCAGGTGCCATACCAAGTGCATGGCACTGGGGGATCGAGCCCGCAACCCGGGCATGTGCCCGGATCAGAAATTGAACCACAACCTCCTGGTTCATAGGTCGACGTTCAACCACTGAGCCACACCGACTGGGCTATTATTATTTATTGATTATATTGTCAGTATATTCATCTTAGTAGCATATTTTGCGCATAAGAAACGTATCCACACAGCGCCCTGCAGCCTAATGATAAGGTGCTGTGAGCAGTGTGTATCAGTTAGGGTGGCTTTGGTTGTGAGGACCGGGTCTGCCCAGCCCCTGCTGGACACGGGGTCCCTACCCTCCTGGAGTTTACAATCAGGCGCTGTCATTCCCATCTCCTGTCCCATGTCTGTCTCCTCTTCCTAAGACCTAGTTACTACGTGAATACGTTTATGGAGTGGAGAAATCGATACCACTCTCAAGTGGCCAGGGACCCGAGGAACCGAAGCAGAGTTCCCAGTTCCCTGTCAGGTAGTCGAGGGCTGTGAGCACGTGCCAGCGCCCTAGTGAGGGTCAAAGGGAGGAAATAACTTTCTCACCACATCCTTCTTAACTCATGTGTGAAGGTTTTCAAATACTGGTTTCTTTTCTTTTTTAAAACTATATTTTTATTGATTTTTAGAGAGGAAGGAGAGGGAGAGAGCTAGAAACACGCCCCTTCCTGGGAATCGAGCCCACAACTTGGGCATGTGCCCCGATCTGGAATTGAACCAGTGACCTCTTAGTTTGTAGATTGACACTCAACCATGAGCCGCACTGGCCGGGCAATACGGATTTCCTCAGTCTGATGGAGCGGAGCTCTGCCTGTTGGGGAAGGCTTCATGGAGGAGGTGACTATTGAGTGTGGTCTGGAAGGATGATGAGGAGTTAACTGGAGGAAGGGCATTCCAAAAGGCCAGTCAGAAAATGGCTTTTGTTTGGTTTTGAAATGGACATTGTTTTCTCTCTGGTCTCGAATTCTAGAAATGAAAAGACAGTTCAGAGGATTGTAGAGACTTCACCATGAAGACCTGCCCTTTCAGAAGAGCATTAAACACACACACACACACACACACACACACACACACGCCCCTCAGACTCTCACTTGCCCTCCCTTCTTGCTGATGATGAACAATGTCACCTCTTGGATTTAGGTCACCAGCCTCCCTATTGTCCCTTATCCTGAAACCAGCCTCTCCGGTGCCTCCCCCGAGGTTTGGATTAACCGGTGAGTCAGGTCTCAGAAGTCTTCTCTAGCCCTTGTTTAAAATGGGGTAAAAAATACTCTCCTCCATTAACTGCACTTAGGAAGAAGCAAGCCCCTGTCTGCAGGGGGCTCACCCTCCATTCCCCTCCACCCTCTCAGCTCCCCTGGGGAAAAATATGCTAATTCATTCACCTTGCACCTTAGCAGGAGGAAAGGAGGCTCTTGCTGAGGACCTGAGAAGTGAGGCCTGAAGGGAATGATCGGGCACAGAGGAGAGAAGGATCTAGAAAGACGAGAATGCTCAGAGTCCTCTGGAGGGAGTAGAGAGAGTTTCGCTACCAACCCCCCTTCATGGTGCCTCTTCGTAAGGTCAGAATATTTCATACCGTCTCCTGGAGGGAACCCCCACCCCCCAGGTGACCTCTCCCAGCTTTGGGGCGTCTGACATGGAATTCCAGAGGCTACGACTGTGACGGAATGTGACCAATTCCTCAACAGAGCCGCGATGTTGAACCTGGCCTTGATAGCTCATGGTGGAGCAATTTGGAGGGAAATGTATTGGGGATGCTTCATTATTCCAGTTAACACACTTGAACGAGGGCCGTGGTGTTCCTTTGCATGATGTAATACATGTGATGGTAAAAAGCCAGTCTTCCTCCTAATGAGGGCCTTATTAGAAGACACCTTCCCTATTCCCCCCTGGCATCTGGATTGTGTGTCCTGCTTATGGCCAGGAATTTCTCATTTCCTAATGACACTGAATTTTCATTGAAAAGCGTGTCTTTGGTATCGACTGGATTAAAAGCAATAAACAAAAGGAGGCTGTGAGCATTGGTCTCCAGGCAGTGTACAGCCACGTGGCGTCCAGCCCCGAGCACCTCCCTGTGCCCTGCCATCCTGCCCCAGTTGTGGCAACTTCATACAGCGTGTCCGGGGTCCTGCTCCGTGGTGGCACAGACTCCCTGCCCAGATGAGATCAGATAGCACGTCCCTTCTCCCCTGGCAGCTCGTTTTTGAAGGGGCTTTTGACAAGAGTCAGGGCCCGATTATTAAATCACCAGGGCGACCCTTTCTGTTCGCCAGCCACTAATTAACTTGTGAAATTGGGACCTCATCTGGCAGATAAGCTCGTTCGGTTTGACAAACAGCTTAAAACTAGTTGTAAATAAGAACAAATTGCGGTAATTTCCCCCCCCCCCCCCAACCGGTCCTGTGTTTGGCATAGATGGGTTTTAGAGGGTTGTGTGGTGTTGTTTTTTTTAATCCTTAAACATCTCAGATTTGTAGCAACGAGGCCATGAATGTCTTCGTGTTCCCAGTTGTGTCGTTGTCAGCCTGGGGGTGACTGCGCACACAGCAGCTGCTCCAGAAGTAAGTGGTGCCGTGCATTAGAAAGGACACTGCAAGGTGTGCCTGTGAGATACGGTTTGAGCAGTGACTCATCGGGTGACTTTATTAACATCTTCGTTCCCCACTTTCCTAATTCACAAGATGAACAGGAAACTTAAAGTAATGAATATCCTATACAATAAAAGGGTAATATGCAAAGTGACCCGAACGATGGAATGACCGGTCGTTATGACACACACTGACCACCAGAGGGCAGATGCTCAATGCAGAAGCTGCCTCCTGGTGGTCAGTGTGCTCCCATAGAGGGAGCTCCGCTCAGCCACAAGCCAGACTGATGGCTGCAAGTGCAGCAGCCATGGCAGGAGCTGCTCCCACCTCCTCAGCAGCGTTAAGGATGTCCAACTGACAGGGAGTGGGCTTAAGCCATCAGTCGGACATCCCCTGGGGCTCTTGGGCTGCCAGAGGGATGTCTGACTGCCAGCTTAGGACTGATTCCCCGGGGAGTGGGCCTAAGACAGCAGGTGGACATCCCCCGAGGAGTCCTGGACTGTGAGAGGGCACAGGCCAGGCTGAGGGACCCCCTTGAGTGCATGGATTTTTGTGCACTGGGCCTCTAGTATATAATATATACTATATATAGCATATATATATATATAATTTATATAAACAGAAACTATATATATATATATATATATATATATATATATATATATATATATAAACAGAAACTATATATATATATAAGCCTAAGTGACAGTTACTACTGGACAGCCGGATGGATGACCAGCTGGTAGCTATGATGCACACTGACCATCAGGGGTCAGATGCTCAATTCAGGAGCTACCCCTTGGTAGTCAGTGCATTCCCACAGCCAACCTCCCCCCAGCTGGCCAACCTCCATGGTTCCTCTCCCTGACCTGATTGGGACTGGGCAAGCTGGCCCCAATCATCACCCAGGCCGAGGAACCCCACTCATGCATGTATTCATGCACTGGGCCTCAAGTATACTGGTGTGACTCAGTTGGTTGGAGTATTGTCCCATGCGTGGAAAGGTGGCAGATTCAGTTCCCAGTGAGGGCACATACCCAGGTTGTGGGTTCAATCCCTGGTCTGGGTGCATACAGAAGGCAACTGATCAATGTTTCTCTCACACATCAATGTTTCTCTCTCTCCCTTCCTCTCTCTCTTAAAATCAATTATTTTGATTGCAGCTAATCTGCGCTATTAAGCTCTGACTGTTCTGATGTCACCGATTATTTTTTTAAATTGATGTATAATTCACATACCATCAATCTCACCCTTTTAAATATACAGTTCAGTGGTTTTAATAATCACTGGTTTTATCTATTGAGCATATTCATAAGACTGTGTTACAGTCACTGCTGTGGAATTCTAGCACATTTATTTTCATTACCCCCAAAGAAATCAGTAGTCACTTCCCATCCTCCTCTTCCCTGAGTTCCAAGAAAACACCTTCTCTTTCCCTGAATTGGGACCAGGAGTTTCTTGAAGGGTTTCTCTCCCTCCCATCTTTAATGCTTCCAATCCGTGGATCTTTCCGTGTTTAGATCTGTTAAACATTTTATAAAATATGTGTTGGTTTGATGACGATGAAGAAGAAAATAAAAACTGAAGCAGCAGAGCAAGAAAACAAGAACTCAGAGTGTAGACTTCACTTTGGTTTTTGCTTTCTGGATGACTTTGGACACTTCACTCCCTGGTCTCAGCCTCAGTTTCCTCATTTGGATCCTTTGTGTTGGATTCGAGACCTGTTCCCTTTCCAAGCTTTCTGTTGAGTCAGTATGTATATAGTTGCTTCCAGTGGGCTTGGTCTCTAAGTTCCTTGCTTTCTCTTATCCACAAAACCAGAATGGCGTTCTTTGATCAGTGTCCCTGTTCTACATGAAATAAACATAACGTGTCTATTTATTTGCGTGTGCCTATAAAACAGTGGCATTTTTTTTCAGGTAGCTGTCTCGTGAGGACGAATGAGATAGTTCCTGTAAATTACCCAGCACAGGCGTTGGCACTTAGTCAGTGTTGGATAAAAATTCTTCGGCAGGTGAATGTTGATGGATCATCCCAGGTAGACCCGTTGACATTGGCCATGTGAAATCCATTACGTTGATCGTCCCCTGTGACCCCAGCTTTCTCAGTGTTGGGAACGGGGCCTCTGCTCTCTGCTTTCTTTCCCGTGTCGCCCTCACTGGTGTGCGGAGCCTGTCAGTGTGAAATTACAGATTTGGAAAAACAAATGCTCTGAGAGGAGCAGTCCGCCTTCTTCGGCTCTTGACAAGTGGCATGGGAAATGAAAAACGCCCGGACGAAGACAAATTTATTGGATCCCAAAACCACCGGGCTGTTGATTCTCGGAGTCAGACAGCCAGGTTATGAATTGGGTGATAAAAACGGAAAGCGTTTAGCCTGACTTCTAAGACGGGGACGGCGTTGTGTGTGATCACAGCTATGGGGCTCCTGACAGCCCTCGACTAATGAACTCGCGCTTATTAACCTGGCTGTTTACTGGATGAGCTGCCGCTGTCTGTCTGCTGTGTTGTGCGGGGAGGATAACGCTGAACTACCTGATGTTTCTCCCACCAGCCTGGATGCTGGAAATTTAATCTCCAGAGTAGCAGGTGGCAGGCCCATGCGCGGACAGTTCCAACCTGGAGATTGTTAGAAGCCAAACCGATCCGTCTCCCTGCAGGGGCGGGGCTTGTATCTCCCTGTAGGTTTGGAACTGATGAGCAGACGGCCTGTTCTGGGTGTTAGAGATCTGTCAGGGAACCCACTCTTACTCTGATTGGATGCTGAGGCCCAGAGAAGGTGAGTGCCATCCCCTCAGGTAGCCCACTGAGCCGCTGGCTGAGCAGGACCAGAACTAGACCTTCCCGCAGCCTGCTTTCATGCCACCGGGCATTCTGTGCCAGGATGTGCAGTTGGTACGAGACGGGTAAAGGGCCGACTACCTTCTCACCCCTCACCAGGCCTTCAGTGTTTTCATTATCAGACTGTCATTGCATACTTGATTAATTAATTAATAATCATTATATAGCTGCTCATGCCAGATAACATGCCGGGCACCTTTCCACTGTGTTAAATTTTTTTTAAGTCCTCACCCAAGGATATGGTCATTGATTTGAGAGAGAAAAGGATAAGGGGAGGGAGGAACATCCATGTGAGAAAGAAACATCAGTTGGTTGCCTTCCATAGGCACCCCAACCGGGGGATTGAACCCGTTACAACCTTTGTGGTATGTAGGACAATGCTCCAACCTACTGAGCCAACCGGCCAGGGCTTCCGTGTTTAATTCTTATTCTCCTCCGTAACTGCGTGTGTAATGTGTGGTGTGGTGTTTAACCCTGGTTGAGCCTTGGTTGTCTTCTTTGTGGAAGAATCATGCGCCATATCAGGAGTCTCGAGAAGATGGACTGAGATGTGTTGTCATCTGCCCAGCAGAGAGCCATGCACGTGGTAGACAGTTGCCACCGTCACTGCAATCGCTACTATTGCTTGGGCTTTTCAGGTGCCAGGTTCTACAAATTTAAAACCACCTTTAAAGGTCCGCCCTTACAGTGTAGAGCAGGGAGCCGTATAGATAACCTTCAGAAAGCAGACCTTCTCAAACGAACACTTGTACACAAATGTTCATAGTAGCGCTACTCACAGTAGCCCAAAGGTGGAACTCAGCCAAATATCCATCAACTGATGAATGAGTAAATAAAAGCGTTATGTCCATTCAGTGGCATGTTACCCAGCCAGGAAAAAGGAATGGCATTGGGCAACATGCTAGAACATGGTGGAACCTCAACAGCATCATGTGAAGTGAGAGAAGCTGGGCACAAAAGGCTATCTAATGTATGTTTCCACTTAGAGGAAATATTTAGGATTAATGAATCCATAGAGACAGGAAGCAAATTGGTGCTTGCCAGGGACTACGGGTAGGGAGTGGATTTTTTTTTTTTTTTTTTCTTTTTGAGAGGTGAACATTTTTTGGAGTTGACAAGGTGGTGATTGCACATTACAGATGCACTAACTTCCACTGAATTATACATGTTTAAATGGTTAGTACTATGTTCTGCGAATTTCACTGAGTAAAAAGAAAAAGCCATTCTTGTTTAATCATGAGGATATTTGTATGGTCTAAATGAGGGGAACATTGAATAGGGTTAAAGTCTATGACAGTTGAGGGCCATCACTGTATGTATTCTATGATTTCAGAGACTTTTTCTATGACCTGAGGCAAATCATGTTTCTGTCTGTCTATAAGGGGAATTTCCTTCATGATAACCCTGCCTATGGCTTTGGGGTGACACTGGGACTTTTCCTTCCACTGCAGCTTGTGACCAGGCCTGGGCCATATCCCATCCCCAAACCAGCCCCTGGCAAAGGAGGACAGTGTTGTTTTCACACAGAACAGCTGCGACCCCTCCCCTGTGGCTGGAGGCCAGTCCTCAGCACCCTGTGGCCTCACAGGCTTTTTCTGTTCGGGCTGCAGAACGGGACACTAAAAGCTGGGTGGCTTATCAACAACACATTTATTCCTCACAGCTCTGAGCCTGCAGAGCTGAGACCAGAGCTGGGTTCTGGTGAGGACCCTGTTCTGGCTTGTGAAGTGCCAACTTCTCCCTTGTCCTCACACAGCAGAAAGAGTCCCTTTCATAAAGGCACTAATCCCATTCCTGGGGGCCCCACCCTCATGCCCTAACTACATTTCAAAGACCACCTCCTAACACCATCAAATTGGGGATTAGGATTTCGACATAGGAATTTGGGGGACACTCACACATTCCATCCATTGCACCCTGTGGACCAAAAACAGCATTGTGGCAACAATAAATACCCCCCAAAACAAGGACCAATATTGCGCCTGGGATGGCTCCCAGCTGTGTCTGCCTCCAGAATCAGTTGGGCTGGCCTCTGGGCTGCATTTTCCTTCCAGCTTCACCCCCTCGCAGAGTTGTTAGTTTTCTTAAATACATAGGCTGTAATTCTTGCTCAGAAATCTTCAATAGTTGCCCAGGGGCTGTGGAATGAAATACAAGTTCTTCACTTGGCATTCAAGGTCATGCTGGTCTTGTTCCCCTCTATCCATCAATCTCCTAATCTGACTCTGGAAGGAGTGGCGGGCGGCTGCTCCCTGGGGCCAGGCCTGCCCTTGCATTTTTCCTAGTGGTTCCCTCCACCAGGGAGGTCCTCGCTTGCGTTCTCAGCCTCTGGATATTGTGCCACCCTCCTTGGCTGTTGGCTCAGCTCTGATGTTTCCTCCTGAGAACCATATCTCCCCCAGTCCCGCCTTGTGTGCATGGTCACCGTGCCCTGGTCTGTCTGTCCGTGCCTGCATTCTCAAAAGGCTCTGCAAGGGCAGGTGGCACCTACCTCTGTGTCCCCCACCCCAAGCTCCATGCCTGGAATAGGGTAGGAGCCCGGGGAGCATGTGCCCTGTGGAAAGGGGTGAAAGGCAAGGAGAGAAAAGGGTAAGACGTCGCTGCCTTCTCTTTGCCGTGTGCTACCAGGGCCGTGGAATGTGGAGGAAGAATAGACTCAGCAGACTCAGCGAGTTAGACACGTGGGGAGGATGGGAGTGTGGGGAGGACTGGAGTGTGTGTGGAGGCAGCCGCCCTTGTTAAATGCTTACTGAGTGTTTGCTTAAGCAGAATGGAAATGTGCGGCATGCCTGCTTAAGTCATCCTTTTCCAGAATGAAAATCCAAAGAACGGGGACCGACACGCTCCCCATGGAGGCCGAGTAGATGTGATTAGGAGCTGATTTAGCATTCAGGAGGAAACCGTGACAATCAGCCTTCCGGAGCCATAGGCCGACCGTGGTAACCGCGCGCATCCTCAGGAAAGATCCATTTGCAGTAAAGATCTGTGTGGCGAGGCATAGTCAACAAGGTTAATGCTGTAAGTGGGAATTTTTTATTGCTCCTCGATCTCTTCCCCCTTTTTTGCTTCTGCACCTGAGTCACCCCCTAAAGAGAGCTCCGTACTCCAAGTGACATTCACCCGGCCCGCCTGTTGACATCTCTGTTAAACTGACATGCCTGTTCTTCAAAAGCAGGACCTGTGCTTGGCCAGCATGGCTCAGTGGTTGAACATTGACTTGTGAATCCAGGAGGTCACAGTTCGATTCCCAGTCAGGGCACATGCCTGGGTTGTGGGCTCAGTTCCTAGTGTGGGGCATGCAGGAGGTAGCCAATCAAAGATTCTCTCATCATTGATGTTTCTATCTCTCTCTTCTTCTCCTTTCCTTTCTGAAATCAGTAAAAATATATATTAAAAAAAAATAAAAAAGCAGGACCTGGGTTGTGTGTGGAATATAAGGGTGGGAATTAAGGGAAGTACCTGGGGTGTAGGTCCATGCCTTCCACTTCTCTGGGCCAACGGCGGTGGCTTTAGAGGAAGTGCCTCCTAGTGAAGCTGCCATTCTTTCGGGCCTGTGTCCCCATGGAAACATGCTCATGCTTTGAATAGGGGTCGGTGGTGCCTTAATCTGGTTTCTCACCCTGAGCCCTATTAGCATTTTGAGCTAGATAATCATTTGTGGTGGGGGGCTGTTCTGGGCTGTCCTTGGAAGATGTTTATCAGCATCCTTGACCTTTACCTACTGATGCTCATAGCACCCCATCCTCCCCAATCTTGATCATCAAAATTTGCTAGACATCACCACATGTCCCCGGGGTGGGAGGCAAAATTTCCCCAATTGAGGACCACTGCCTTAGGGGCTCACCGTGTGGACAAGTAGGAGCTAGTCCGGTAGGAAGTGGAGGCAGCAGGTGGAAGTCAGGGAGGTGTGGACGTGGCGTCCTTTATTTAGGGGGTGGTTCAGTGTTGGAATGAGGAGGGGTGAGGTCCTCGGGCAGGTGTTGAGGTCTGTAATGCCACACTGAGGAGGTCAGGAGTCTTGGGTTGACCCCAGGGTCCCGCTTCCCAGCTGTGTAACCCTAGTCACGTGGCCTGGTTAATGTGGTCTGCTTTCCTGAGTGCTCTTGATCCAGTTACACCCAGGTCTCTGGGCCCTACCAGTTCAGGTGCTGTTGTTCATCCAGCCACCCAGGTTCTCCGCTCCAATTCCATGCTCATG